GGGTGCTATAGGTCATGTGGGGAGAGTCGCGGGTGAAGCCGTCAAGGCAGCGAGAGAGGTAGTCCGCCGCAAGGACGAAAAGGGAAGGAGAAAGAGGGTCGCCCTGTCTAAGGCCTCTAGAAGAGGGAAAGAAATCGGTGGGGCTGCCATTAATCAGGACCGAGAACGTGCAATGCTCCACACACGCCTCCACAAAGCTGATCCAACGCTCAGGGAATCCCATCCTAGCCAACGCCTCCCTAAGAAACGGCCACTCAACCCTATCATACGCCTTAGCCATGTCTAGCTTCAGCGCGATATTCGGAGCCCGCTTCCAGTCCGCTCGGGAGATGTCATGGATCATCTCCTGGGCCAAAAGGATATTATCACTAATGACCCGATCCTTGACGAATCCACTCTGGTTCGGAGAGATGAGAGAGGGGAGAAGAGGGGCGAGACGGCCGTTAAGAATCTTCGAAATGAGCTTGTTGGTCACGTTACACAGGCTTATGGGCCTGTAATCGGACCAAGAGCTCGGGTTGGGTCGTTTGGGGATCAAGACGACAGAGGTAGACGTGAAGGAATCCGGCATCCGGTGGCCGGAGAAAAAGTCCAACATTGCCTCCTGGACGTCAGTCTCGACAATATCCCAGCAGACCTGATAGAAGAGGGAGGAGAAACCATCCGCGCCAGAAACGCTGTTGGGATCAATCCCGAATACAGCATCCCTAACCTTCTCCCTGCTCGGGAGCTCACAGAGGCCAATGAGATCGACCNCTGATAGAAGAGGGAGGAGAAACCATCCGGGCCAGAAACGCTGTTGGGATCAATCCCGAATACAGCATCCCTAACCTCCTCCCTGCTCAGGAGCTCACAGAGGCCAATGAGGTCGACCGAAGGAGGGATGGTGGGGAAAAAAGAAGCGTTCGGGGCCACGAGGGACCTTCTGTCAGATGTGAAGAGGGTCTGGAAGTGAGCAACAGCCGACTCCCGAATCTGAGCCTCCTGGGTCAAGGGTGACCCATTAGCCTCGATGCTATGGATGTACGACTTAGCACGCTTCTGCCTAACGTAGCCCTGGAAGAACCTAGTGTTCCGTTCGCCCTCGGCCACCCAGCGAACGGCCGCCTTCTGCTTCCAGAATTCCTCCTCCATAAGGAGTCGGAGCTGGTACTCGGCGTGGCAGCGGTGCATGGCGGTCCTATTCTCCGGAGTGGGGTCCAGGTCATAGGCCCGCTCAGCCGACGCATGCGCACTCTGAGCTGCAGTAAGGCGGTGATGAAGGTTTCCAAAAACATCCCAGTTCCACTGTCTCAACCGACGCCGTAGTCTGCCGAGCTTCGCCTCGAGATTGCGCATCCCGAAGAGCCCAGTCGGCTGAAGCCAGGAATCCCTGACACTGTCGTGGAAGGAGTGGTGGCGAATCCACATGTTTTGGAACCTAAAGGAAGCGCGGCGAGAAGTGCTCGAAAAACGACATCTAATGAGGAGGGGTGAATGGTCAGACCCAAATCGAGTGAGGTGCGTGACGGTCGTGACCGCAAACACC